AGTCGCGCGCGTCCCTGGGCAGCCAGCGCAGCCGCGTCAGCTTCCTCAAGAGCGACCTCAGCTCGGGCGCCAGCGACGCCGCCTCCACCGCCAGCCTGGGCGAGGGCGCCGACGAGGCCGCGCCCTTCGAGGCGGACATCGACGCCACCACCACCGAGACCTACATGGGCGAATGGAAGAACGACAAGCGCTCGGGCTTCGGCGTGAGCGAGCGCTCCAGCGGCCTCCGCTACGAGGGCGAGTGGCTGGACAACCTGCGCCACGGCTACGGCTGCACCACGCTGCCCGACGGCCACCGCGAGGAGGGCAAGTACCGCCACAACGTGCTGGTCAAGGGCACCAAGCGCCGCGTGCTGCAGCTCAAGAGCAGCAAGGTGCGCCAGAAGGTGGAGCTCAGCGTGGAGGGCGCCCAGCGCGCTGCCGCAATAGCGCGCCAGAAGGCCGAGATCGCCGCCTCCAGGTAGGACCCCGGGTCGGGGCGGACGGAAGGGGTCCTGGGCAGGACAACTTAGCAGGCCCTGTCTCCAAGCCTGTTTGTGCTTCTTTTACCGTCAAGGGTTCCCCCATGGTCTTTAGGGGGTTAACTGTCGGCCCTTCAGGAGATGGTGTCACCTGTTCCGCCATCCATCCATCCATCCATCCTCTTATCCATCCACTCAGTGACTCCAATCCACCCATTCACCCTGTCCCTCCATTCTTTTGACTGTTCCATTCACCCAGCCTTTCTAATATCCAACTGAACAACCATCTCTGCACCTAATCATCCACCCCACCTACCCACCCACTCCACTTTTTAATTAATTAATTAATTTTATTTTATTTTACTTTATTTTATTTATTGAATGAAAATCGATTATACATATTTTGGGGGTTGAACATTGAGATATGTTGATTAAATCAATATTACTAGCATATATATTGTTACAAATCATAATTATTCTTTATGCCCTGTGTCCAACCTCTCTCCTTCCCCCATTCCCTCCCCCTCCCCCCCTCTAATTGCCCTAGATTTCTTCTCTCCTTCTGAACAAATAATGGTTACTCTATTAACTTGTTGTCTAGATGATCTGTCCAATGCTGAGAGATGTGATCAGGTCCCCCAATATTATCAAAGAGCAGATGCTTCTTCTGTCACTCTGAAATGGGTTTTGTGGAAAGAGACGTCCTCTTCTTTTCTTTGTCTCTGCTGGTGACTCTTCTTGTGTGAATGCACCCCAGTGGTTGGTGGACCATCTGCGTGGTGGCTGTGGTGTCTAGCCGCTTTTGCAGCAGCCATGGTTATTGTGGTGGGCCACCCACATGGAGGTGATGTTTTTGGCATGCTCCCTGACACTGGTGGTATGCCTGGTTGTGGGGTGTGTTTGTTCCCCTTCTCCATGCCTCTGGTCCCTGGGCAGGCCCCAAGGCACTGGCGCCCTGTGCCTGGTTGTGGGAGAGCAGTCCAGTCCCCTTCTCCATGTCCTAGGTCCCTAGGCAGGACCTGAGGTACTGGCACAGTGTGCCTGGTTGTGGGTGGAGCGTCCGGTCCCCTTCTCCATGCCTCGGGTACCCAGGTGAGCCCCAAGGTGCTGGCATTTTGTGCCTGGTGTGGGAGGAGGGTCCAGTCCCCTTCGGCATGCCTCTGGGCCAGGCAGGCCCCGAGGTGCTGCCACAGTGTCCCTGGTTGTGGGAGAGAGATCCAGTCCCCTTCTCCTTGCCTTGGGTCCCTGAGTGGGCCCCAAGGTACTGGCGTGGTGTGCCTTGTTGTGGGAGGAGGGTCTGGTTCCTGGCTCCATGCCTTGGGTCACTGGGTGGGACCCAAGGCACTGGCTTGGTGTGCCTGGTTGTGGGAGAGAGGTCCGGTCCCCTTCTCCATGCCCTGGGTCCCTGGGTGGGCTCTGAGGTGCTGGCATGGTGTGCCTGGTTGTGGGAGGGTGGTCTGGTCCACTTCTCCATGCCCCGGGACCATGGGCAGGCCCCAAAGCACTGGCTTGGTGTGCCTGGTTGTGGGAGAGAGGTCCAGTCTCCTTATCCATGCCCCGGGTCCCTGGGTGGGCTCCGAGGTGCTGGCATGTTGTGTCTGGTTGTGGGAGGGTGGTCTAGTCCCCGACTCCATACCCTGGGTCCCTGGGCAGGGCCCAAGGTGCTGGCATGGTGTGCCTAGTTGTGGGAGAGAGGTCCAGTCCCCTTCTCCATGCCTCGGGTCCCCAGGCAGGCCCCAAGGTGCTGGTGTGGTGTGCCTGGTTGTGGGAGGATGGTCCGGTCCCCTTCTCCCTGCCCCGGGACCGTGGGTGGGCCCCGAGGCACTGGCTTGGTGTGCCTGGTTGTGGGAGAGAGGTCCAGTCCCCTTCTCCATGCCTCAGGTTCCTGGGCAGGCCCTGAGGCACTGGTGCAGTGTGCCTGGTTGTGGGAGGGTGGTCTGGTCCCTTTCTCCATTCCCTGGGTCCCTCGGCGGGGCTCAAGGTGCTGGCACAGTGTGCCTGGTTGTGGGAGAGAGGTCCATTCCCCTTCTCCTTGCCTCGGGTCTCTGGGCAGGCCCCAACATGCTGGTGTGGTGTTCGTGGTTGTGGGAGGGTGGTCCGGTCCCCTTCTCCATACCCCAGGACCGTGGGTGGGCACCAAGGTGCTGGCTTGGTGTGCCTGGTTGTGGGAGAGAGGTCCAGTCCCCGACTCCATACCCTGGGTCCTTGGGTGGGCCCCAAGGCGCTGGCTCAGTGTG